TTTTGCTGGCGCCACAGCGCGATTTCATCTTGCAGCGGCAGTCGCTCCGTAGCCATTGAATGCAGCCAGGCTTGACCGTCGGACGACTGGCGCAGATCAGCACCAAACGCCGTCTCAAACGCACTGCCCCAACAATACGCAAAGGTTGCATAGTCAATGTTGCGCAGCACCGACTCGAGGTACACGGCAGCATTTTCCTCCATCTTCTGACACCGCAGTTGGCGCTGGTTGGAGTAGGCCATTGACCATCGCTTCTTCCAGTCGAGGTAGCAGTACGGCGTAAAGATCCAGGGCGCGTTGCACGCATCCGAGACGCGAAGACCCGCAATCGAGGCTTCGATCGCACTGAGTTCGTTGTGCTGAAGCCAGGCACCATAGTTGTTGACGGTCGAGACGAACGCTGTCGGTGTTGCATAGGAGCCGAGGAGGTTGATGCTCGGATCGTTGAGGACAATGTTCTGCGCTGTGGCGCGCAAAATGAGCTGCTCGTTGAGCCAATTCGCAAAAAACGTGTGGGCGCCCGTGACGTTGAACGTTGCCCAGTACAAGTCGTTGTCCAAGTTGACTTTGCACACTTCGAAGTACAAGACCGAGCCGGTGATCGAAGCGCTCATGTAGAGCAAGCCAAACGCGGCCAATAGCGTCCGAAGCCGGCGGCGGCCCGAGGCCACGCGAATAAGGTCCATCGACGGCACGGAGAAAGCGGTGCTCGTGATGTGCGACTGCGTCGCGACGAGGGACGCCTCAGGGGCGGCCCGCGCCACGTGGGTTGAGATCGTATCCGGAAGCAAGCTCCACAGCTTGAGGTCAAAGATATACCGATGGCCATTGTACGAGAGAGGGAGGAGCCCGCAGAGAACGCACGTCACAGGGTCATAGACACGACCGGCGTCGCAGCGCGGGTCGGCGGTGATAAAGGCCTCGGCCAGCCCCGACACGAGCAAGCTCTCTTGTTCTTCCTCCTCTTCGTCATCGTCGTCTTTCTCAGCGCCGCACAGGCGGCGGACGCCGCAGCCAAGCCCAATGGAAGCGACAACGATACCGACTTGGAGACTGCAAAGAAGCACGAGGCGGTTGAGACTGCCAATCGAGATGGCGCCGGCGGTGCAAAGAAGGCCATAGTCCATATCGTTACCGACGCACGTTCGACTCAGGTTCATGGCAATGCCGACGGGCGACACCAAGCTCAAAACAAGAATCGTGAGCCACGCCAGCGCATTTGTCCACGGACCGTACAGCCGCGTAAACGGTTTTGGCAGCGCAATCACGAGATACTCGTGCAGACTGTACGAAAGCCATGTGGCCTCGCCCGCCAGCAATCCCGTCGCCCAGAAGGAGCGCGCTTCGTCGACTAGACGGCTGTAGCCGAATTGGGTCACCAGCTTTGGCTGCGCCGTGCTTAAGATCAAGATGGCGCTGATCCCGCGCATCAACATGAGCTGGCGGCCGGCCCAGACTGAGCCCACGAGCCGGTTGAAGCACAGCAGATTGCGGCCCGTGATGTCAAAGTGACTGTAGAAGGTGTAGAGCAAGGCGAGGCCGCCGACACCGACGAGACAAATGGTGCTCGCGAGTACGAGGTAGTAGATCATTTTGGTGGCCGTCTCAAGCGGCTGACCGCTCGTGATATAGTGCTGACTTGTGTACGCGTTGGAGAGAAGGACGATCGAGGAGACGTCGCCTTCAAACGAAGCGGCTTGTCGGAGTCCGGTGGCCCAGTCGGCTGCGAAGCACCAGCCATAGAACGTCCAAGGGTCGTCCAGTGAGCCGAGCAGCGGCTGTTGCAAGAGCAGCCACGAGCCATTGGAAGCTTTGTCAAATTGCATAAAACTGGTGTCGGTGGCCTGCAGCATCGGTGGCAGTGACTCGAGCGTCGACGAGACGTCAAGTGGAATAGGTAGCTCTTTCAGCCAGTTGGAAGCTGCAGAGAGTGCTGCTGTGCAAGGGTTAGGGGCTATGGACAGTGTGCAGATGACATCCATGGAGAACGCAGCACTTGAGGTTGTAGAAGTTGCCGGCAGAGCAAAGAGCAGAGACATGGGCGGTGGCTGGACACTGAGCGGTGTCTTTTGCGAGCAGTCGTCGTAAAAATCAAACGACTGCTGCACGTACGATGTACCAGAACCAAGGACGCACATCGGGTCACCTCCGTAAAACGTATAGTTGCTCTTCCAGCGCGACGGCGTCGGCGTCAAAACCACAGACGGAAGACTGGCAAACGATTCAAACCTTGCTGCCGACGTTGCGAGATGCTCTAAGACAACGTCTTGGAACCGGTTGTACGCAGCAACAAGTGGCGATGGCCGCAGCTTGTAGCGAATGTCAATGCTGAGGTAAGGACCGATAAAGGTATGAAAAACCCATGCTTTCCCGACGAGGTTGCCACGGCTGTCGGCCATGCCCCGATACGTCTCCAAGTTGATGGCGGGCAAGGCTGCGCTGATGTTGGTGGCGAAGTGGCGACTTGAACCCCGGATCAAGCTCCGGTTCAGCGTCATGCCGTTGTACAAGTCGTTGAGTGGCATCCAGAAGAGGCTCTGGGACGACCATGGACCTGTGACTTGGTCGAGCGCTTTCAGCGTAAAATTTTCTTGCATTCCGAGGGCGTTCGAGACGATGATTGTCTCAGAGACGCCGGGTTGCCACCGACTCTGCCACTGCAGCTCAAAGATCGACAAGTTGTACGACCGCCAGTAGGTTAGTTCGTCGGCCACCGACGTTGTGTTGGCCGCCGTTGCCATTTGCGATAGAAACGAGCGACCTGCGATGGTTTCTTGAAGGCCGCGCTGGATCGCCACGTTGAAGCGAAGACCATTCCCAGCCCAGAGCGCCAAGTACGCGTCCCAGTTTTGGTTGCGCAGAATGGCTTCGAGGTACACGGCCGCGTTGGTTCTATAGTTGCGCTCACAGCGCTCTTGCCGACGCTCCGTGTGGGCCATCTCGAACGTTTTGTTAAAGTCGACCCAGCAGTGCTGCACGTTCATGCGCATGCACCAGTAGGTGCTCAGCATACGAAGCTTTGGCACGGCGTACTCGATGGACGTGAGCTCGCCGAGGAGCAAACGCCGTGCATGTAGGGCGTGTAGATGCTCGTGAACGCATCGATGGTCGCGTACGTCTTGGGCACCATGGCCGACGCAAAGAGTACGTCCAGTGTACCGTTGGCTTGTGTCATGAGAAACTGGTTGACGAGATCGATGAGAAAAGCTTGGTAGCCCGACACGTTGTAGCCGGCCCACCAAAGGTCGTTGGCAAAGGTGGGCTTGAGTAAACGCGTGTAGTAGACGCAGCAAGCCAGCGAGAGCAGTACATAGAGGAGGCCCACGGCCGACTCGAGATGCAACCACGTCGTGAAGCGACCCATCGCACGATCTCCGATGCAGTTACGACCTGTCCTAGACCAGCCGCCTTTTTATATCTGAAACTGCTGTCGTGGCTTCGCCAAGCTTGGGGCCAGGCTGCTAAATCTCTGGAATCATAGTGGTAACCAGCGATCTGATTGGTGGCTGTGGGCGAATAAATGGCTTCTGATTGGTGGACATTTAGCCCAGCTCACTTTGTCGAGCATCTTGCCTCTCACAACGAATATGGAATATCATATGCTGGAGGTGGTCGTTGGGATCTCCTCTTTTTGATTTGATTGACATGGATGTTGCGCGCGTCCGCCCGTCCGCCCGGATCCCAGCCGCTATAATAGGTCACAGCAGTAGCAGCGGTCAAGTCTCGGGCGCGGCTCTTGTGCCAGGCAACTAAGACTACTGCGCGCATCATCCAAAGCGCCACGCCACCTTTGCAGATGAAGTCCAACGCTCGTGCTTCCCGCTTGCCGAGCTCCAAGCTCACCACTGTCGCTGCCAAAGCTGGTCCATGAACAGACGACTACAACTGCAATGCAGCGTACGAAGAAGACGATGTTCTCGACGTGCCTTGTGTCATTCGATCAGATCTCACGGTGCCCGTTCCATATGAACTGGTCGCACGTCGCGGCGACGCTTCGGGCGATGTTCGCGCCAGTGTGGGTACGACCACGTGGTCCAGCGACCCAATGAGCTCCTAAATGCGCTGCTCAAGCTGTCACGATGCTTCGCTTTCTTCCTCTTACATGCAAGTCTTTGTCGTGCTTGGTACCACGCGCTACGCATTTCTTTCCTAGGAAATACAAATTCAAACTATGTGATAGTGATAATGCTTTTGTTCTACATCTGTGAAAAACGCGTAGTCTGATTTGCGAATTGATCCTACTTTTGACGCTCATAAAACGTGCGCAGCGCATTTGGCGCGAGCGCCGGGTACGACGACGCGATGGCTTGCAAGAGCAGCTCGTGCAGGGCGCGGTTGCCAGCGACGGTCAAGTGAATCCCATCGCGAATGTAATAGGACGCCGTCGCCGTCGAGTTGCGCCAGCTGCCAAAGAGATCGAGGACGGGGACGTTGCGGGCCGCACCCACTTGCTTGCAGCCGCGGACGTAGGCGGCGAGGACCGCGTTCGAGTGCTGGCCCGCTTGCACCGCGTCGACGACGGGCGGCGGCGTCAGCAGCAACAGCTTGGTCGACGGAAAGGCGGTTTGGAACGCCGTGAGAATCGCGTCGAGATTGGATGCGTACGTGGCGACGCTCGCATGGCCCAAGTTGCCGGGCAAGACGGCGTCGTTCGTACCGAGCAGCAGCGTCAACAGCAACGGCGGCGCCATCTCGGCGATCATGGGCGGCACGGCGGCGGCCAAAAAGTCACTACGTAATGTCGTAAGCACTGGAAAGTGATGGAGGAGACGTACCCCGTGGTCCAGCCGGCAAAGCCTCGGTTGAGCACATCAGCGCGGCGCATGTAGCTTTGCGCCAGCAGTGTATGGTAGCCAAGTACCGTTGGGTCGAGGCCATACTGCGTGAGCGAGTCGCCGGCGATCACGATCGTTGGTACGGTGGGCAAAAGCTGCACGGTTTCCACCGACGTCAAGCCTGGCGCCGTGACCAGGTACAGCACGATGCTACCACTTGTGAAGAAGAAGACGGCAATCACGGCGACGATGCGCGTGAGGAAGCGCCCGCGGGCGTCGACGTCGCGCTGCATGGTTCTTCTTCCGTGCGGCCAGCTGCGCTCGTTCGGTCGTCTGCCATCCTGGTCACCCAAAGACACGCCGGATACCGATGGCAGAGACAATATATATTGTCGTGCACCATTGTCGAAGGCGCGGTATCCGGACAATATTTGATGGTATGGCTAATATCACGCTACTTTAGCATGCACACCCGCTCGCCGCTCACATCCTGCAACCTCGTCATCCTGTCATGATCGTCACATCCTGTCATGATCATGGACACAGATACATCTACGTCAGTGGCCGAATGACATATTGCATTAGGGCGTTGGACACCACACTCGTCGCATTTTAAACTGAAACTTAATATAAACTACACACGCCTACGATTTACAGCGCTTCGACCATGTTCATGAGGTCGCCGTCGCCGCCGTCGTCGTTGGAGCTGTTGGAGCCGTTGCCGTTGCCGTTGCTGTTGCCGTCGGCCATGCCCATGCCGAGGCCATTGTCGAAATCGAGGAGGTTCGAGTCCATCGAGTTGGTGCCCATCATGTCGTTGCCGTCGTTGCCGCCCATGGTGCTGCCGTACGACGCCATGTTGAAGCCGCCCATGTTGGGGTTGCCGCCGTACTGGTTGCCATAGCCGTTGCCGTTGCCGTTGCTGCTGGGCATGCCCATGCCGTAGTCGTCCATCATCATCGAGCTGTTCTTGGCCATCATCTGCTGGTAGAGGTTGTTGCTACCGCCGTTGGCCGCCGGCGGGCCCGACATCGAGTTGCGCATCATCATCTCAAAGCTCATCGCTTGCGGGTTGTTGCCCATACTGCCACCGCCATTGTGCGACGGAGGCATTTGGTTTTGCGGCGTGTTGGACGCCGAGCTGCGCTTGTCCTTCTCACTCTTGAGCTTCTTGAGGTACGGGTGCACGATCTTGATGACGTACTTGTTGACCTTCTCGAGCTCGTCAATGTGCCGGGCCGGCGCCGATGACGCGTCTTCCGAGAGGATCGATGCACACAGCTGCACGTAGCCGAGGAGGTACGTGAGCTTCTTCTTTTGCTCGCTCTCGTTCTGGTCCTTCATGTGCTCGACGTACTTGCGAAACGCATTGTGCACCGTGTTGACGTCGGCGAGGTACTTGGCCTTGAGTTGCGCGTGCTATCGAGTTGAAATCTTGATACTTGTGTATGAAAGATGGGTGTGTACCTGCCGCCAGTACTCGACTGGGTTGGTGTTGGCGGGCGGACCGCCGGACATCTGCGCCATGAACGACTGTTCGTTCGGCTGCGGCGACGGGTTGCTGCTGCCCATCTTGTTGGGTTGTTGGTTCTGCTGCGACGGCGGCATCATGTGCGGCGGCTTGTTGCCCTGGTTTGGGCCGCCTTGCTGGTGCTGCTGCTGCTGTTGCTGTTGCTGCTGTTGCAGCTGCTGCGGGTTGAGCGGCTGCTTGCCACCGGGTCCCTTGTTGGGTCCATTGTTGTTGTTGTTGGTGTTCGGGCCGTTGTTGTTGGCGCCAGGCTGTGTGTGCTTGGGCGTGTTGGCCGAGCTCGGGCCGCCGCTGTTGGAGCCCGACGTGTTGGGGAACGACGGACCGTTCGACGTGTTGATGTTGAGGCCTGGCGTCTGACCGTACGGCGGCTGCTGCATGTACATGCCATTAGCGTCGCGACCCGGCATGCCGTGGCCTGGCATCATGTTGTGGCCCATCGGGTTCATGTCGCCCGCCTGCGTCTTGAGGTGCTGCAGGCGCTTGAGAATCTTGTTGATGTAGTCTTCCTACAATATACACACACAATGAGAATGTGGTCAAGGACGTCGATGAAGCAATACCTGCGTTTGGCACTCCTTGTACAACTTGAGCTCAAACCATGCGACGTTGATCCAGAGCGCAATGCCGGGCGGGTCGGTCGAGACGCGAACCATTTCGTTGTACATCTTGGCGATCAAGTTGGTCCGGTGCTCCCTCGTAAACTGCGCGCGCCACTCCATGTTGGCGATGCTCTGGCCGTTCGATGGCGGCGCGGTCGACGGCGGCGGGTACGACGGGTTCGAGGGCGGCATCGCGTACGAGTTGGACATGTTGGGCGCGCCGCCTTGGCCCATGTGCATGCCCATGTTCATGTTGTGGCTCATCTGCTGCATCTGGGGCATGCCGTTCATGCCCATCATGTGGTGGCCGTGGGGCTGGCCGTGGTGCGACGGCATGTGGCCGCCCATGCCGGGCATGCCCATCGGGTTCATGGCCGAGGGGTTGCCGCCGCCGTTGCCGCCGTTGCTGCCGGGCATGCCCATGCCCATGCCCATGTTCATGGGCATACCGCCGTTCGCCATGCCGGGCATGTGGTGCATGCTGGACGGGTTCATCATGCCGCCGTGGTGGCCCATGTTCGGGTTCATCGCGCCGGCCATGTTGGGGTTCATGCCGCCCATGTTCGAGTTCATGTTCATGCCGCCGCCCATCGGGTTCATGTTCATACCGTTCATGTTGTTCATGCTTCGTACGTCCCGCGGTCCGTCCCCTCGGCGAGTCTTCAATGGAAGGTGCCAAACACGAAATGAGAGTATAAAAATTCAAAAGAAAAAATGCCAATTTCCACGAATCGGCGAGCAGCATGCATTTTGACCAATCAGCGCCCACAGACGACACCGCAGTTCGGTCGTGTGTTTTAAACACCTCTCGCCATTCACGCTTGCCATAAGATCGCGATCGCTAACAGCAACCACCGGTCGTCTGCTCTTAGCGCAACGCGCCATGCGCATGACACATCACGGTACCCTTATGTCGAAGCTCTCCATGCGAAGTGCACCCATTGCGCGTCGCCGAGTCCAACACTGTGCAACTGAGAATGCAATCGCTCAAGATGACAATCTGGATCAAGTGTCCACCAACTCGTCATGTCAGCAAGTTGGACGACGCACCACCCGTGTCGTCTCGACACTACGCAGCCGCTGCATCGCACCGTGTAGGCTGTTGACACCTTTGCACCCATCGAGCGAGTCGGGATGCGAGAAGTCGGTGGGTCGCGACAGCCGTTCGTTATCGCCATGCTTGCAGGAGGGTCAGCAGATCGCTACATCTTAAGTGTCGAGTCCTGGGTGCGAAAGGAGTTGTACGACATCTTGGAAGGCGCGAAACGCTCATGTGGCGGGTGGTATCTTGGCTGAACTGGTGACAAGGAGAACGCGCTGACTTATTATGCGTCCTCGCGAAACAAAAGAAGATCGCAATATGGCCGTTCGTACTTCTAATGGAATCGAGGCATCTGCAGTGCTGGGGTCATGACTCCAATGGCGAGGTGACCAAGCGCTCACAACGGTGCGTGTTTTCAACATGTTTGAAACCGATTATGTTTTATACACATCGCGTGCAGCAATGATTCTCTCCCTCCTTCAAAGATCCGGATGCAAACGCGTTACTCATGCGTGGCGTTGGCCTGCGTATCCGGATCTGCTGTGCTTATCAAGTCTCCGAGGCGTATCGGAAGCCGTCGGACGCTGCTTTTTCCATCAATGGACATGCATCCGCGTGCATACCCCCGAGATTTCAACGCGAAATGTCCCCTTGTAGATAGATGTTCCAAGGGCGTGACCTCCAGCGATACGCCGTGGGTTCTTTGTGCACGAGACCGCCGACCACCGGAATCCAGTGATTGGATCGTGGGTTCATCTTAGTTTCCATGCCAAATGCACGAGAACAAGAATTTTTTTGCTTTATTCCGACTGCATTATGTGTGCTAGTACTAGAGCAGGCACAGCAAGCTCGGAGCTGCAAAACCTCCTTGCACGAGCAGCGCTTCGCGAGTTCGCGCCGGCCCGGTTGTATCAGTTCTGAGAGGGGAGATGTGCATTGTCGCTTCAAGACGTGCGGGCACTGATTGGTGCATTTTATCCGGTTTCATGAATGTGGGCCAATGAAAGGACGTTGCTTGGATCGTAGACAGGCAACAAAAACACTCCCGCGCTGGCTGCGTGGTCTATTCCCCTCCAAGGGTCGCCCAGTCGCAGGTAGTCGTCCTCTACAGTCCTCGAGAGATGCCGTCGGTCTCGTATCAGAAAGGTCCCGCAAGGTCTTGCGATACCATGGTGAGAAGATTTCAGTGGTGAATTTTGGAGGTCGTTGAAGGTAAACTCCCTCCATGCCAGCCATTACGTGTTGCATGCGTCGTCGACGGGTTTTACACGTGTGTTCCCACACGTGAGAAACAGCATCTCGATACCACCCACCAACATTCAAACTTTTCATACCAAACTTTGTATGGCGGTGTGGGCGCGAAAAATGATGTGGACTGGACGTGTGAAATACCCATTGTGCAACGAGAAAGTCCTTTAAAGCGAGCACCATCACGTTTTTGCTGTTGATGTGACAACTTCAACAGCAAAGATACCAACGCATCGGTCTGTCGTTGGTCGTCACCGCCCACGAGCGCGGCGTGCTGAAACAAGACATATGCAGCTCGGAGAGACACCGCGCCATCACCGCGTAGTATTGAGGCTGCCGTTAAGCAGAAGCGCGCGACCGCTCGTTGGAAGGAAAGCAAAATGAATCCATTCGATTCGCTAAAAATACACGAGACGACGGTGGACGCAGCCAATGGCCTTGCGCGGCCCAGTAGCAATGAGCGTCGATGGCTTCCTCGTCGGGGCGTGGGCAAGCACCGAGGCCTTTGGCAACACGGCGCTCGACTGGAGCGAAGACGTCAAGGCCGGCAAGGCCGAGCTCCATTTAGCGTTCTCGGCCGACGGCCGCGTCACGTTCCGCATCGAGAAGAGCGCCAAGAGCTACCGCCACGTGCTGCCACCCGAGAGCTCGTTCACCTGCGACGTTGCGACTTCGACACTCCAGATGCACCAAGATATTTCCGGCTTGGAATGGCACTACCAAAAAGAAGACGACGTCAACCTGCGACTGCGCCTCGTCGGCGCCAAGCGCTTTGGCCGCTGCAACGGTGTCGACGTCATCTACCTCCGCCGCGTCGTGTAGCCTACCTTCATAACCAAATGCATGCATGTGCAGGACGGTCGCGTTGTCGTCGTCATTCGCACGGCGCATCAATGAGGTCCATGTGTTGAATGCCTCTATGGACGATGTTCGCCGGGCGGATCCTGCCGCTACCGTCATAGAGCGAGAAGTGTTGACACCGATGCCATCAGGAAGACAGCGTTCGATGCCCACCTGTACGCTGAGCACCCGACAATGCACTACGATACGGAAGACATTATGTGTCGGTGGAGAGCGAAATCAGAATGACCCCGTAGGACCACACGTGTAGACACACCTCGCCTTGTCCCGGCTTCACGGTGGCTAGGTTTGCACCCAGTGCGCCACCACTATGTGCAACTTTCCTAGTCGTCCAGGGTACTACAGAGGCAAGAGTACGAGGAAACACTTTGGTGGGATCTGTTGAAGACATTATTGTCGTCGAAAAGGCACGACCCACTATTCGGGCGTCGGCGTCGTGACGTAAATATCGGTCACGTACGGGTACAAGATGCAGCCGCTGGCGTCAATGTCGAATTCAGCAGCGTCGAGGATCGCCATGACGTCGGCCTTGACACGCGCCTGGACATCAGACGTCGCGGTCGAGATGTACGACTTGGAAAGAACGCGCTCCCAGATCTGCTCTTTGGATGCGACGGGGACATTTCGGCGAATGCACGTGTGCGTGAGCGGGCCAAAGAGGTCGGGACTCGCGGCAAAGACGTGGGCCCACTTGCCCGTCCGGTACTGTGGCGCGACACCGTCGTAGGCTTCGTAGATCGTCCGGAGCTGCGCCACCCACGGCGTACTCGCGTCTTCCATGTTCCAAATGAGACCGAGCGTGCCGTTCGGCTTGAGGACCCGGCGAAACTCGCGGAGCGCGTCGCGGTTGTCAAACCAGTGAAAGGCCTGGGCGACAAACAGCGCGTCTTGGGAGTTGTCGGCAACCGGGAGCGCTGTCGCCGTCCCATCGACGCAGCGCACGTCCGGAAAGAGCGTCGCAAACGTGGCGCGCATGCCTTGCGACGGCTCGACAGCGACGAGGTTGGTGATCTTGGCGTCGTGATGCAAAAGCGACGTAAATTTGCCCGTGCCGCTGCCAATCTCGAGCACGTTCGCGGTCGCCGGGTCGAGCAAAAGCGGCAGGAGCGATGCAAGCGCCTCGCGCGGAAACCCCGGACGCGCCTTGTCGTAGAGCGACGCGTTCACAAAGCCATGCTTGGCGACCGCGTGAACAGCCTTGGTCGTCATGACTGCAAATGGAAAATGCAATCTCAAAAGTCAAACGGCAAAGTCAAAAACAGATGGCGAGTTGGGTGCGAGGAACACGAGCGACGCTTGCAACCTTGGACCTTGGACTCATGCCACAGCGCAGGATTCAATCGTAGAGCTTCGCTGAGTCTGTACGAGCCTTTGTCTCCTTACGAGACGCATCGAAAGATGGTCGATGTAGCAAGTCGCATGCTGTGTATAGCGACGTCAACCATGAGCCAGGTGCTGCTTAAAAGGGCTTGGTGCATTTCATATGGGCGACTGAGCTTATGCGCGCGATTGATCGAATTTCAGAGGCTTTGGCGAATTCCTCTCGAAAACTAATATATGGCTCATGATGCATTTTCGAGGGTAACTCCACGTGCGACACGAGGCCCGGGGCGCCCAAGCACCACATCAGCCTTGCCGCCATGCTACGGCAGCTAATCCTGGTCACCGACAACGCTACAAGAGTCAACACTGTAAGACATAAGTAGGCAATGCTACAGTATGCGTGGTGCAGCTATTGGAAGACGGTAAGCAGCGGGCTGCTTGCTCGGACGGCGACCTCGGCCGCGTCGGACGTGGAGCTCAGTCGTCCCATCTGTTGAAGCTCAATCGCGGAGCTCAGTCGTGGCGATGATATCTGCGTGAATTTTAGCCAATCCAAGCGCCTTCTTATGTGCTTTAAGGCGGCTACTGGTCGAAATACACCGTAATCCTTGGCTTTTTCATCAAAAGCTTCGCCTGATTGGTTGAAAGGCAGCACGAGCAACTCAAGCCGCATCACTGCACTTGAAAGCCAGGCTCCACCTCTGTCAACGTGCTGAAGACCTTTCAACCTCTTTCTCCTCTTTCTTTGTATATCGTGTACGTAACCTTTAAGATCCCCATTTTACGTACATCGAGCCCTTAAAAGAGGTCCGCCCTTCGAGTCGCACGTCGCGTTCAACACCAGCAACAACTTGGCGCTCGGGCAGACTAAAACGCAAGACGTAATGTTGAATCGCTATCCGGTGGAGCGATTGCGATTACACCGTGCTACTGGTAGCTAGCTAGCGAATCAAGATCGACGCATTTTGATTGACGACACTCGGCAGTTGAAACGGTTGGCAAGTCATGGTCAAGAAGCGACGAGCGGGCAAGGCCAAAGACGGCACGAGTCGCAGTAGCAGTAGTATGCCCCTTGCATTAAACGTAGAAGATGATGGTGCTCGCGTAGAGACCAAGCTCGACGTGCAGGATCTCTCGAGCAACCAAAAGCAGCTCGCACTCGATACGTGCGCCACAAAGCTATCCCTGCGCAGTATAATGATATGGGCATTAGGCTCACGCAGCAGACGAACGTCGACTTGATCGCGCGCGTCGACGAGCTCAAGTGCGAGCTCCACGCGGTCACGCGTCGCGCCAAAAGCGACGTGGCCGACAAGGACCTCGTCATCTCGGACCTCCAGCTCACAATTGCCAAGTACGCTCAGCTATCCAATGCACATCAGCGACGACTATGCTCGTCTTGCAGGCTTGAAAACTACATTTCCAATCTCCTCGTCGCCCAAGACGACCGCGGCGACGACGCGGCGAATCCGCTCCAGCAAAAGTACGTCTTTATGGCGTCCGAAGCGGCAAAAGCATCGGCGGCGCTGAGCCAGAAGACGCGCGAAGTCGACCGCGTACTCGGCACAGCTTTTCCGTCGCTGCTCAACGATGCGTAGCTCACGCGCCGCCACTTGGCGTACGAAGCCCAGATCGGCCAACTCCTCGAGAGAGAGCATCCGATGCCACTCTCGATTCCCGACCTCGAACGGCAGCACGAACAGGTGTGTCGACGACGCATTGATGGGAGAATGAGCACATTTACATAGATGGACCTCGAAGAGCAGCGAAACGAAAGCATTGTGCCGCTGCTTCTCCAGCTCTTGGCCAAATCGACACCGTTGTCACTACTGCACACACAAGCGCTCGACCAACTCCACCATGCACTCAAGGACTCGAAGCAGTATGTACTCCAACGAGATGGTTGTATGGTATCGCAAGCATCGTAGAGTCCCCGTGTTCCTGCACGCCAAGGGTCTCGACAGCGTCTGCGCCGCAGTCAACAATGCGCACCATAGTGACCGCACGCTCTTGGTAGAGAACGCCGCCGTGACACTGTGTCGTCATCACAACGTAGCTCGCCGTCAAGATTCTGTGGCGCACGACCTTTCACCCACCGTACAGCGCGTAGCTATGAAAGTATGACGCGCTCAGTGCACAGTGATGTAGAGCGATCGCGTCGCTTCGAGAAGCCGTAGGATGCGGACATGGCTTGTTGTCTCACTGTGGTGCGGTAGAGCGTTTTGGGCGCGCTGTTGCTAGCCGTCAAGTGTGTTCCGATGGCGAGCTCGACGCAGCTTCTTGGCTTGGCCAACCAGCTCTTCCGCGCGACGCTGCCACCGACGACGACCGGCACGTCGAGCGCGCTTGGTCGAAAAGCCTCTCGGCTGGAAGCCGTACCCATTGTCGTACGGATATAGGTTCATCGCTCCTTGTAGGTGTACCTCGAGAGCCTCGCGGTGGTGCGATGTGTGGTGCTACCATATGTTGCCGCCGAGTTCCCGCGCCTTGTGCCCATGACGCTGCAAGCCATGTATAAAATATTGCAGCTCACACCACTGTGCGTCTTGGCACTCGCCGAGGCACCCGACTTTGTCGTGGCGGTGCTGACCGCGTACTTGACAACCCCCGACACCGAGGTAGCTGCCCCGCCGTTCACACGACGGACGCACATGGGACACTAGCTTGTCGTGCTGCGTATCTTGCATCTCTACGTCTTGCAACACGGTGTCCACGCCATCCCCGAGGTATGCATTGGGATGTCTTCAAGTTTCCTCGACCGACGACACTAGGCCGCCAAAAGTAAAGTCGATGCCGCCTACCACGCGTACGCATTCCTTGGACGGACATGCGGCGCAGCACGCCTATATGTCTAGGTTGATCAGCGACAGCTTGCTGGACAAGGGCGCGCACGCCGAGGTGCTCGGTCTATTCAATACGTGGCGCGCCTACGCCTACGCGCCCTTCAAGGACGCCGAGACCCCTGTCCTCGACCACCTGCCCATCCTACACACCACCGCCACGATCGCGCCCAGGATTCGCGACAAGGATGCCATGAGCTGCACCGAGTTTCCCGTCGCGACTCGCCTCATTTCGCTTTCCGCTAGCCTCCCCGCCTTGTAAATTCGCGCAAAACAACTGTTGTTGCAACAGTATTGTCTGTTGGCATGTTACCGAACCCGATGCTTACGGCAGCAGCGCGTAGTTGCGGCGCTTCAAGTAGGTCCAGAGAAGCTACACACACAAGAAGGACACATTCGTATGCGGTTCTACACACTGGTAGGTACCATGGGCACGGCCGCGGCCATGCAGACAAAGAGCACGCCTTGCACGCTGCTCGCGAGCGCATGCGACATGGTCGTCGTTGCCAGCGCCTGCCGCACCTCGTCATTCTACAGCAATGGCACAGACATACCATCTCATTGGCCACGGCGAGCGGAGCCATCGGCGGGGCCGGGGCAAACGTCCAATGACGTGGCACGTCCTGCGACGCCTGCACCCCTGCACGCGGGCCAAAGCCAATGTGCGTGATCGAGAGCGGTGGCGTCGACGCATACGACGTGTGCCCACTGCCAGCGTGCGTCGTCTCGAGGACGAGCCCGCCGTCGACAATCACGTGGCCAGGACCCGTCGAGTAGACAAAAGTGCGGTTGCACATAATCGCGCCAGCAAAAATCGTGCCCTCCCCGAGCATCGACACGTCGTGGTTGGCGCACAGCACCGCTACTTCAACATGACAACCTGTCCAATTTCCAAAACGACATTCCGACGCACCGTGCTGCGGCGTGTGGTAGGCAATGTCGCCCGCGCCCGCCATGGTCGAGCGCAAAAACGGCACCGAGAGCGTGGCCGCCTCGAGGTACACGTCTCCGTCCGACGCCGCAAACGTGCTATACAAACGTGTGAGCGATTCGCAAAAATCCGAAAGATCGTACCGGATGAGGTTGGCATCGAGGTGCGGCGTGGCAACGGCAATGGCACCGGTACCCATGGTCTTGACCTCGAGCGTCGTCTGCACTGCGAGGCGCGACCGCAGCTGCACCTGCACCGCGCCCGACCCATAGTTTTCCAGCGTGAGCGAGCCAATCTCGAGCGGTGGCGCCTCGTTCACGTAGATACTGCCCGTGGCGCGCGCCGTCAACTGCACGTGCGAGCGGCGACCCACGGCGTCCGACGGCAGGACCGAACCATGGATCGGCGGCAAAAATACCGTGTCGGCGGTCGTCGACAGGTACCTACACCAACATACTTTAGCATCCGCATCCCATGGCACCAGTACCGCAAGCGGTGCGGCTGGTGGAGCACCACATGCACGAGGCTCGTCAGTGACGGTGCCCATGCTGTCGCTGCATTCAGCGTCAGCACCGTGAGACCTTTGCGCAAGCGCAGCGTGTCGACATCAAGCGGGTGAGACTTGGCCTTGTACACGCTGCCGTAGAGGTGCACCGTCACAAGGTTGGTGTCGTTCGATGGCTCATAGGAGATGCAGACACGGCCCGGAATGCGCACGAGGAG